GAGGGGAGCGCTGGCGTGCGGTGGTGTCGGCCTGGGGGGAGCCGTGCGAGCTGGCCTCCTCACGGGCGTCGGGTGGGCGGCTGGCTGACCGAGGCTTCGTGTTCGCCCTGCAGCCCCGTCCCGAGCAGCCAGGCATCCCGAACTAGATACGTCTCCCTCGCTTACCTTTTCTCTGACACCGCTGTACTGTTCGCCTTCTACCATCCAACTTCGTTAGCACATTCTTGCGTAGACAGTTCATCTATTGGTCACAGCTTCTACTGAGCATACTTTGATTGTTGTTTTAGCAGAGCCTTTTTATGATTATACGTATTCATTAGGATGCCAGCGAGGTCTACAAGTCCTAGCATCTCTTCTTGTTTCATAATGCAGCTAAAACTTGAAAGAGGCTCCTAATTGGGTTCTCCAAACCTAGCTAGTCTCCAGCTGTTGCCTTGATGTGGGAGTGGACTGAGGCAAAAGCAGCAGGTGACCACGGTTCTTTCTACACAAGCAGCACATCGGGCCGGCGCTCTGGGTCACGCAGGCATTCATATAAGGCAGGGGTACGTTATGGCTTGTGTACATATCATGATTTGTGCGTGGAGAACAGCAACCTGCTGTTCCGTGACTGAGTCGGGTGAGGAGGTGGGCAGGAGAAGAACAGCACTGTGAAGACTTTGGCTGGAGATAGACTTGCCCCTGGTAGTTGGCATAATACAAAGGTTATGGTGATTGATATTTCTGGCATGTAAACATGTTACCCCAGAGATGCTGGAAGGAGCCCAGAAGCACTGGGAGCAGCCCCGGAGACCCTGGGAAGAGCCCCAGAGCATCTGGAGCGACCTGAGAGGATCCTGGGCAGCTCCAGGAGGCCGTGGGAGAGACCTTCGTCCGCCCTAGAGGTGCCCAGGCAGGACTAGGAAGACACACACGCAGCTCATCTTCCATGTTTGAAGCAAGAATGCAGGAGGTTTATGCAGTTTCCTTCGAGATAGCTGAGTAATGCAAAGGCATTAAGGTCTGGATTTATCCCAACTAATTATAGACATGGATTTGAATAGCTAACTCTGGGCTGCGTTCACACCAGAGCCAGGGGAAGGGGACAGCTCGGCCCACTCCAGCTCTGAACAGCCCTCTGACAACACCTTTCTGTTCTCTGTAAAGGTGTTTGAGGTGACCAAATCAAAATCTCGGTATCATTTAAATATCAAAGGCAGCCGGGATGAATCTGGATCAGACTTGCTCAGGATTTCATACAAGGCTGTAATAATCAGTAAAGGCAGCTTTTCCTCCAGGATGTGGTGCCACCTCTTTAGAGTAACATAAAAAATGAATGCTGTCTTCCTTCTGATTAAAAAGAGAGAACGTAGAATGTCTTGCCTGTGTTCTGCTGTCTAGGAAAGCACATTCAGCATAAATTCTCATCAAGGCGTACTCAGAACAGCGTTAGCAAGCTTCTGCGCTCATGAAGCCCTTGAAAACCATCCCTGAAATGGAGCAGGGGGAGCCACTGCAGGGCTAGCGGGAGGTTTGCTGGTACGAGTGCTGCTGTACTTAATGCAGATACAGGGGTTTTTTACAGCCAGGGCTGGGAAGCGAAGGACTGCGCATCAGTGACAAAGATCTATTTCCTTACTTTGTTAGAAATCATGAGCCTTTGTAGCCGGTGCTTCTCACAGCTTGTGCTTCAGCCCGCACTGCCTTCAATGTTTGGGAAGCTGTTCTGTAATGTGTAGAGAAATGGTTGCCACCCCCAGCGTTCCCAGTGGCAGCAAAAAAGTGGAAATACTCCGCTCAGTGAAGATTTCCGATATCTAGCTCCAAAACGCAAGCAGGATCACACCCAGCGGAGCAGGGGGTAGTACCCTGTGGGGCAGCTAAAACTTCGCTTCTGCGGTTGAGCCTCCAGAGGTTTTCCCGGGAGATTCAGCCACCTGAAGACCTATGGTTTAGGAGGCATTTCAAATTATTCATGCAACATTTATTTTTGCTAATTCTATGCCAGTCAGCCAGTACTTCTGTTCTTAGCTACATGCAGATCCACAGGAAATGACAATTCTATTTTAAATATTTTTGCATTTTTAAAAGTAAAATGCCAGTATTTCTAAGCTCTCTGGGAGGAGGAACACAGCCAAGCTGCCAGGAATCTCTATGGAGAGCTGCTGAC